ACAATTCTTCAAAGACCTTGAAAGAACAATACGCAATATAATATGGGAAAACAAAAAAATCAGGATAACCAAACCAACCCTGTACAATAAATGATCATCTGGGGACATCACCATCCCTGACTTCAAGTCCTGATATAGTGCTATAACAGACAGGCAGATCAATAGAATCGATTTGAAGATCCTGATATCAGCCCACACACCTATGAATACCTAGTTTTTGACAAAGAAGCTAAAATGGAAAAAAAGAAAGCATATTCAACAAATGATGCTGGTATAACTGGCTGTCAACATGTAAAAAATGCAGATAGATTCATATCTGTTACCACACACAAAACCTAAGTCTAAATGGATCAAAGACTTCAATATAAATCCATTCACACTGACCTTCATAGAAGACAAAGTGGGAAATACAGTTGAACACATAGGCAAAGGAGACCACTCCATTAATAGAACATGAGTAGCATTGACACTGAGATCAACAATTAATAAATTAGACCTCTTGAAACTGAGAAGCTTCTGTAAAACAAAGAACACAGTCAACAAGATAGAACAGAATGGGAAAAGATGTTTACCAACCCCACATCTAATAGAGACCTGGTCTCCAAAATATACAAAAGAACTGAAGAAACTAGAAATTAAACTACCTAATAATCCAATTAAAAATGGAGTATAGATATAAACAGAGAATTCTCAAAAGGACAATCTGAAATGGTGGAAAGATACTTAAGGAAATGCTCAACACCCTTTGCCACCAGGGAAATGAAAATCAAAACAACTCTGAGAGTCCATCTTCCACTGATCAGAATGCTAAGATCAAAAACACCAATGACAGCTTATGCTGGAGAGGACGTGGAGAAATGGGAACACGTCTCCATTTTCCTGGGGGTGAGAACTGTATGGCTACTGTGGAAATCAGTATGGTGATTTCTCAGAATATTAGGGAATTAACCTACCTCAAGACCCTGCAATACCATTTTAGGCATACACGCAAAGGAGGCACATTCATACCACAGGACATCTGTTACACTATGTTCACAGCAGCATTATTCCTAATAGCCAGATCTTGGAAACAACCTAGATGCCACTCAACTGAAGAATGGATAAAGAAAATGTGGTACATTTACACAATGGATTACTACTCAGTGTTAAGAAACAATGACATCCTAAAATTTGCAGGCAGATGGACAGAATTAGGAAAAACCGTCCTGAGCTGGGATTGACATGTGAAGCAACCTTGTTTGTGACTTAAATTGAAAACCAAAAAAGACATTAAAAAATAAAACATCCTGAGTGAGGTTAACCTGTGCCCAGAAAAACAAATAGAGTATGTACTCACCCATAATTGGATACAAGACATAAAGCAAAAGATAATCAGTCTACAATCTATCTATATCTACAATCCCATAGAAGCTAGAATCCTCTTCCAGAAACAGATGGAAGCAGATGCAGAAATCCATAAATAAACAAGGGACAAAGCTCCTGGAGTACAATCAAAGTGAGGGAGGAGTGATAATATGAACAAAAGAGTCAAGACCATAATGGGGAAACCCACAGAATCAGCTGATCCAAGCTAGTGAGAAATGACTGACTCTGGCCTGAAAAATGGGGAACCTGCATAAGATCAAACTAGATTCCTTTAATACAGGCAACAATGGGGTGTCTGGGACAATATAAGAGGCCACTGGCAGTAGGTTCAAGATCTAACTCTAATGCACAAACTGACTTAATGGAGCCCATTATATTTGGAGAGATACCTTGCTCAGCTTAGACAGAGGGGTTTGGGAGGTGGGGATGTGACTTGGTCCTTTCTCAATGAGATGAAGGAACATACTTACAAGACTTCCTAGGGGAGGCCTTACCCTCTCTGAGGAGCAGATGGGAGGTGGGGGTATTGGGAGAAGCAGAAGGAGAGGAGAGAGGGGGGAACTAGGAACAGAATGCAAAAATTAAATCCTTTTCAAAATAAAATTCTAAATAGTTGTGGATTATGCAAGAGTGTTTCCTGCACACAGCAGTGCAATGCAATAGCTTATATGAATTCACAGCAGGCGAGATAGCATGCAGAAAACCTGTGCAGGCTCATGGCCAACAGTAGGACCCATGGTCCTACTGCAACACACAGAACACTTTCATCTGGCTTTTCCTGTCATGGTAGACTAGAAATGCTCTGAAATGTTTAGCCAAAATCAACTCTCCTCTATCATGTTGACTTCTCAGATATCATCTCTACAGTGGGGAAACATGATTGACATGGGAAATGGGTACCAGATCATCACCACTCTAATAATAGTGGCCACGGGCTCATTAGACATATGGAACTAATTCATGGGCATAGGATAGAATCTGGAGCTATGGTTTACAGAAGGCACAGAAGAAGGTCAGCCTAATGAGACATTCTGATGTGAGCTCATGATACTGGGCTGTGGTCATGAAGTTTCTGGTGCTATTAAATACACTTCCCGTGAGTTTGCCAGAAGCTTCCGCATTACATTCTTTCAAGGAATTTGGATCCAGTTTCTGAAATGTTCATTGATGTGAAGTTAAAAATAGCGGGATAGTTTATTTAGTGGTGGAAATCTTTACAAATCATTACTCTTAAGGCTGTGACATTGTTATTGTTCATAGTTTTAGCAGAGTTTATAGTGATTTTCAAGTGTAAAAATGTTGGGCATGAGAGAGATCCCATGCTTTGCCCCAACCATCAATGTTTGAGGAGATTGGGAGAATGGCCCTGAGGTCAGCAGCCCCTATCTCCTATCATCTGCAACTCTCAGGAGGGAAGACCTTGGCCCTCACCTGGGCAACAAAATACAGCTGATCCTGCTGGCAGAGGTGTGGGTGAGAACTGCCCCCACAGTTATCTAACAGCAAGAATGGAAGACAGCTAGCCCTGAGGTCCTAAGGGTGAGAGAGCTGCCCCTATCCCCCACCAGATGAAACCAAATGCAGTGGATGTACTGTCCCTCCATTGGGCAGTACAATAAAGCCAATTCTTTTGGCAGAGCCAGCCATCTGTGAGCATGGGAGAACTGTCTGCGTTACTCATCTGTAACATGGCAGCTTAGGAAAATGAGAGATGCTCTCCCTTTACTTCTGCCTCAAACAACCATTCCAGAGCCCATAAATTCCCCCAGCTTCAATAGAGATGGTCCTGTCTCTCATCAGCTGCAGCACTCCAGAGAGAGGCCCCTATACCACACCTGGAAAAAACAGAAGAGTTGCTGCTGCTGTGTGGTTTTGGGAGATCTGACACTGAGGACTTGATAGCAGGAGAACTAGCCCTGTCCCTTGCTTGTCACTGCTAGGGGTTGCCTTGCCAAGACAACACAGGAGAGCTCACCATGGTGGTGAGGACAAGGGAGATCTGGCAGGCTCAACAACCCTGAAGTTGCCCAGGCCAGAACCAGGCATATGAGTTGGCATTCCCCAGCATCCACCCCATCTGTGATCTCCTGGGAAAAGTGAATGGACTGGTCCTGCAGACCCCAATCTGCAGGGTCTGCACAACACAGACAATCACCAGGATAATAAAGATCAGTTCCACTGACAGCCTAGCATTGATAGTGTAGCAGAAACTAGAGGCCTCAAACCAGACCAATGACTCTGTGTTATGAACACTTACTTGCAAGTAAAGATATATGGATAATAGTGTTAGGTCATGGATGAAAGATTTGAAAAATTTATTTGTTACCTATCTATTTCTTTTAGTAGTTTACTCTTTGCTCCTTTCCCATTCTCCAAACGCATTGTCAATGTTTGAAATAATTTTTTCAGAAAAAAGTGCATAATGTACATTTTAAAATTATAGGTATGATATTAAATATATCCTTGTAAAAATCTCTTATTCCCAAAACTCAGTGATCATTATGGAAGAGGAGATGTAAAGATTGTTAAGAGTGCAAGGCAGTGGATTGTGCAAGAGTGTTTCCTGGATATAACAGTGAAGTAGCTTATATGAATTCACAGCAGGCAAGATAGCATGCAGAAGACTTTTGCAGGCTGATGGCCAACAGAATTCCAGCAAGGAGAAGGAGCTAGTTACATATAACCAACCCTAGTCAGGAGAGGTTGGCAGTGATCCATGAGAAGAGGAAGAATGATTTTCCTTATGGGTAGAATCTTTGCTGGGTTGTACCCTCCAGTGGATGCTACACATCCAGACATGTATGTGCAGCAAAATTGACATCATGCATTTAAAAAAGGAATAAAACATGAAGCTGAATTGAAGGCAGGTATGAGATGAGTTGGGGAAGGGTAATATATCATCAAAGTATATTGTCGAATATTTTCAATGAAATATTTAAAATAAGAAAAAAAGAGTATACTCAAGGAAATGAGCTTGTCTAATTATCTCGTACTTATTCTTTAATAAAGCTAAATATTACAGATAACTAATACTAAAGATATCACAGTAATGATAAGGTTAAAATGAAATCAAATTTTCATCAAATATTTATGTATATCTTATAGATATACATTATGATGATGTATTGGCAGGGATAAAAATTTCAATTTGACATTAGTTTTTCAAACAGCATTGTTTGCAATAGCCAAATAAATGAAAATTAAGAGTCCATCAAAAGGCAAATGGTTAAGCCAAGTGTGGTACATATGAAATAATGACTGTAGACGGTCACAGTAGTTATCATTAATCACTTAACGCCAGTAGGACATGGTAGCTTATGTTTTTGTTTTCATCCCCAAAGTCTGGAAGTAAATCACAGCATGAATTTGGAATTAGGCTGGGATTCATAGTCACTTTATCAGAGGCTAGCCTTGGCTACAAATTCCCTGTCTCAAAAAACCATATATTATACTCAGAGTAATAAATTTTGCAAATTCAGGAAAATTCTGCAAGCTCAGAGAATTGAAACTACTATTTGCAGTTACAATATGAATATATGTAATGTATGACCAGGGAGAATATTCTTATCACTGAAAACTATCTTCTTAGTCTTTCAGAAATTAATACAAAATGGGCTTAATAAATATGGACTTACTTGGTTTTTCTGACACTTTCTATTTTCTTCTGCATGACACTTTGTTGTTGCTTGCAAATCAGAATATTCATGTTCTGGACTAAAATACATATTTCAGAATGAGTGTGGTTACTGAACACATTTTTAAACACCCAATTACATTTTGAACAATAGTGTGATAGATCACAGGAATGCTGAACATTTTGAAATACAGTGATTTTGAAACTGAACAGTCTTTGTGTGACCCTTTGTCTGTACCTACTTTACAAGTAATATGAGCAAATATGAGATCTCTTATTTGTCTTAGTGTGCATCAAACTTACAGATTCAAACATACAACACATGCACACTTCCAATGAGCTTTAACAACAAAATTAAACCCCACATTTCAGGTAAACTAAGGATGAATTTTCCCGCTGGTTTCCCGCAATTAGTATGAATTATCCAAGTTCTCTCTTGTCACAGTGTGCTTCCTGGTGGGCACTGAATCTACTCAGTACAGTGCTTTCATCATAGCACTTGCAGATGATCTCCATCTCCCAAACTCATAGTAAAATTCTCAGTGTTCATACAGTGCCTCATGCCTCATGCAGTTAGAAGAAGCAATAACTAGGCACACTGCCCATGGCTCTGCTGCCACACACAGAACACTGTCATCTGGCCTTTCCTGTCATTGTAGACTAGAAATGCTCTGAAATGTTTAGCCAAAATCAACTTTCATCTATCAAGTTGACCTCTCAGATATCATCTCTGCAGTGAGGAAACATGATTGACATGGGATGTTGGTACCGTACAAGCAATGCTATAATAAAAGTGGCCATGGACTCATTAGACTTCAGGAACTTATTCTTGGGCATAGGAAAGACTCTGGACCTAGAGATTACAGAAGGCCCAGAAGAAGATCATCCTAATGAGACATTCTGATGTGAGCTCATGATACTAGAATATCCATAAAATGCAGACATCAAGGGCTGTGATTGTGAGGTTTCTGGTGCTATTAAATACTCTTCCAGAGAGTTGACAGGTAGCATCCACATTACATTCTTTCAAGGAATTTGGATACATTCTATGAAATGGTCATTGGCGTGGAATTAAAAATGCTGGGATTTAGTGGATGAAATATTTTGCAAACCATTACCCTTAAGGCTGTGACTTTGCTGTTCTTCTTGGTTTTAGCAGAGTTTAAAGGGTTATTCAAGTTTTAAAAAGTTGGGCACGAGAGATCCCATGCCTTGCCAACCCATCCATGTTTGAGGAGCGTGGGAGAACTGGCCGTGAAGTCATGACAGCATAAGGACCCAAGAGCTACAGTCCCTCTCTCCCTGTCTGCCACCATCTGCAAGACTCGGGAGAGAAGACCTCACCCCTTACCTGGGCAGAGAAATAGAGCTGATCCTGCTGGCAGAGGTGTGGGGGAGAACTGCCCCCATTTGTTTCTAATAGTATAAATCCAAGAGAGTTAGCCCTAAGGTCATGAGGTGGGACAGCAGCCCCTGTCCCCCTCCTGTTGAAAGACTAATCGGGGATATATTATACCTCCATTGGGCAGTACAATAAAGCCAATTCTTGGGGTAGAGCCAGCCCTGTATCTGAGGGCATGGGAGGACTGTCCCCATTACTCATCTGTAACATGGCAGCTTTGGCAAAGGAGAGGTGTCCTTTTCTTCTGCCCCAACCCCTACTCCCAGCCCATAAATATACCAGCCTTCAGTAGAGCTGGTACTGCCCCTCATCAGCTGGAGGACCCTAAAGAGAGGCCCCTATACTACACCTAGACAACACGGTAGACCTGCCCTTCAAAATTTGCATGTGGGAGATCTGACACTGGGGACTTGGAAGCAAGAGAACTGGTCCTGCCCTGTGTTCATCACTACAAGGGGTTAAATTGCCAGGTCAATACAGGAGAGCTCACCCTGGTGGTGAGGACAAGTGAGAGCTGGCAAGCTGACCAACCCTGCAACTATACCGTTCCAGTACCAGGCATATGAATGGCTCACCCCATCATCCAACCCATCTGTCATCTACTGGGACAACTAAAGGGAGCAGTCCTGCAGACACCATTCTGCAGAATCTCCACAACACAGAAAATCAGCAGGACAATAAACATTGATTCCACTGACAGCCCAGCATTGAAAGTGTAGCAGAAACCAGAGGCTTCAAACCAGACCTATGACTCTGCAATGAACACTTGCACTTAAACATGTAAGTATCAAGGAGTTTGGTCAGGTATGAGTGATTTAAAAATGAATTTCTTACCTAGCTATTTCTTCTTGTAGATTACTGATGTTTTCATTAAGGTTCTTCAAATGCCATGTCAATGACTGAATAGTTTTCTCCTGGAAAAAAGTACATATATATATATATATATATTTGTGTGTGTGTGTGTGTACATATATATATGTATGTTATTTTCATGATTTTAAATATACCTTTATCATATCCGCTATTCTCAGAACTCATTGATCATTATGGAAGAGGCGATGTAAAGATTGTTAAGTGTGCATGGCAGTGTAAGATTAGTCAAGAGTGTTTCCTGGACACAGCAGGGCAGCAGATTCAATAAATTCACTGTAGTCCAGACAGCATGCAGAAGACCTGTGCAGGCTCATGGCCAACAGAGTTCCACCAAGGAGAGGGACATGGCTATAAATACCTACACACAGCCAGGAGAGGTTGGCAGGGATCCATGGGAAAAGGATGAATGATGTTCTTTAAAAGGCAGAATCTTTGCTGGGTTGTCACCTTCCAAACATGTGTAGCACAAATTTTACATCATGAGTATAATGGAGGAATAAAACATGCAGCAGAATGTTTCATGACTTGAAGGCAGGTATGAGATGAGTTGGGGAAGGGTAATATATCATCAAAATACATTGTGGAAAATACTCAATGAACTATTTAAAATAAGTTAAAAACGACTTCACTCTGGGAAATGTGCTTGTCTAATGATCTAGTACTTATTATTTAAGAAAACTAAATACTGCTGAAAATTAATACTCATGATGTCAATGAAAGGCTTAGGTTACAATGAAATCCAACTTTTTCATGAAATATTACATCTTATAGTTATACATTATGGTGACATATTTGCAGGATCAAAAATTCAATTTGAGATTAGTTTTACACACAGCATTATAAACAGTATACAAACACATGAAAATTAAGAGTCCATCAAAGGTTAAAGGGTAAACCAACTATGGTAAATATGAAATATTGAGTGTAGAAAATCACAGTATTTATCATCAGTCACTTAACACCTGTAGGACAGGGTAGCTTCTGTTTTATTTTCATCCCAGAAGTCTGGAAGTAAAGTAAATCACAGCATGAATTTGGTATTAGCCTGGGCTACATAGTCACTCTCTCAGAGGCTAGCCTGGGCTACATAGTCCCTGTCTCAAAAAAACAGTCTTATTGTCAGAGTAATAAATTTTACAAGTTCAGAGAACTTCTGTAAGCTCAGAGAATTTAAACTTGTATTTACAAACAGTTACAATATGAATATAACAAATATATGACCAGGGAGAATATTCTTATCTCCAAAAATGTGGTTGTACACTACTGCTACTCACAGGAAGTATTCTGCTCAGTCATTCAGGAATTAATATGAAATGGGCTTAATAAAAACGGACTTACGTGATTTATCTTAATTTCTTTAATTTCCTCTGCTTGACGCTTTGTTGTTACTTGTAAGTCATAAATTTTAAGCTTAAGCCTAAAATACATATTTCAGAATGAGTTGAATTTACTGCACACATTTGGAAATATCCAGTTAGATTAAAATACATGTTTCAGAATGATTTGTATTTACTGCAAACATTTAAAAATACACAACCAGATGCTGAACAAAACTGTGAATGATCATAGGAATACTGAACATTTTGACACACAGTGGTTTTGAAACTGTACCAGTCTTTGGGTGGCCCTTTGTCTGTACACACTTTAGAGGTGATATGAACAAATGTGAGATTTCTTATTTGTCTTAGTGTTACTGGGTATCAAACTTACAGATTCAAAGACACAACACATACACACCTCCACTGAGCTTCAACAACCAAAGTAAACCGAGCATTTCAGGTGAACTAAGTGTGAATTTTCCCGCTGGTTTCAAAAGTGTGCAATTAGTATGAATTATCCAAGTTCTCTCTTGTCACAGTGTGCTTGCTGGTATGCAATGAATGTATTCAGTACAGTGCTTTCATCATAGTACTCTGCAGATGAATTCCATCTCCCAAACTCAGAGTAAAATTCTCAGTGTTCATACAGTGCCTCATGCCTCATGCAACTAGAAGAAGCAATAACTAGGCACTGCCCATGGCTCTGCTGCCACACACAGAACACTGTCATCTGGCCTTTCCTGTCATTGTATACTAGAAATGCTCTGAAATGTTTAGCCATATGTTGCAGATATTGCTATAAACCTCTGGGGTCGTGATCTACTCCAGCAATGGAATACGCAGATTAACATTCCTCCTGTATCAGCTAGGAATTATAGACAAGCTCTTAGTGGTAGAAAGAATATAGTAAGGCAGTACAGAAAACAGATGCAAAATGTACAGGCCGTACAGAAGCAAGAGGCTAGTGCCAAACCTACAGAGCAACCAAAAGCTCTACCGTTAAAATGGCTGACAGATGAACCCGTCTGGGTGGGTCAATGGCCTATGACATCTGAGAAGTTAGAGGCTTTGGGGAAGTTAGTTCAGGAACAGCTAGATGCTGGACATATTGAGGAATCAACTAGTGCATGGAATTCACCTGTTTTTGTTGGCAAAAAGAAGTCTGGTAAGTGGAGAATGGTTACGGATCTTAGAGCCATCAACAAGGTAATTCAGCCTATGAGGTCTCTACAACCTGGGATGCTGTTACCTTCTATAATTCCTAAGGATTGGCCAATAATAGTTATAGACTTAAAAGATTGCTTCTTCACCATACCGTTACAAGAAAACGACAGAGAAAAGTTCGCCTTCACGGTACCTACTTATAATAATTCCCGTTCGGTACAGAGATTCCAGTGGAAGGTACTACCTTAAGGTATGTTAAACAGCCCAACTTTGTGTCAATATTTTGTGAATAAACCTCTAGAAATAATTTGCAAAAAATTCCACATTCATTAATATATCATTATATGGATGACATATTATTGTCTGAGACATTCTGGTGTGAGCTCATGATAACAGAATGTCCATAAAGATGAAGACATCGAGGGCTGTGGTCATGAGATTTCTGGTGCTATTAAATACTCTTCCAGAGGGTTGGAAAGAATTGTCCATATTACATTCTTTCAAGGAATTTGGATCAAGTCTCTGAAAAGTTCACTTATATGAAGCAAAATACAGCGGGATAGTTTACTTAGTGTTGGAAATCTTTACAAATCATTACTCTTAAGGCTGTGACATTGTTATTGCTCATATTTTTACCAGAGTTTACAATGATATTCAAGTGTAAAAATGTTGGGCATCAGAGAGATCCCATGCTTTGCCCCACCCATCATGTTTGAGGAGATTGGGAGAATGGCGCTGAGGTCAGCAGCCCCTATCTCCTATCATCTGCAACTCTCAGGAGGGAAGACCTTGGCCCTCACCTGGGCAACAAAATACAGCTGATCCTGCTGGCAGAGGTGTGGGTGAGAACTGCCCCCACAGTTATCTAACAGCAAGAATGGAAGACAGCTAACCCTGAGGTCATAAGGGTGAGAAAGCTGCCCTTATCCCACACCAGATGAAACCAAATGCAGTGGATGTACTGTCCCTCCACTGGGCAGTACAATAAAGCCAATTCTTTTGACAGAGCCAGCCATCTGTGAGCTTGGGAGAACTGTCTGAGTTACTCATCTGTAACATGACAGCTTAGAAAATGAGAGTTGCCCTTTACTTCTGCCTCAAACAATCATTCCAGAGCCCATAAATTCCCCGAGCTTCAGCAGAGACGGTCCTGTCTCTCATCAGCTGCAGCACTCCACAGAGAGGCCCCTATACCACACCTGGAAAAAACAGAAGAGTTGCTGCTGCTGTGTGGTTTTGGGAGATCTGACACTGAGGACTTGATACCAAGAGAACTAATCCTGCCCCTTGCTTGTCACTGCTAGGGGTGAACTTGGCGAGGACAACACAGGAGAGCTCACCAAGTTGGTGAGGACAAGGAGAGCTTGCTTGCTCAAAAACCCTGAAGTTGCCCAAGCCAGAAGCAGACATATGAGTTAGTCTGCCCCAGCATCCACCCCGTCTGTGATCTCCTGGGAAAATGAATGGACCAGTCCTGTAGACCCCAATCTGCAGGCCCTCCACAACCCAGACGATCACCAGGACAATGAAGTTTGATTCCACTGACAACCTAGCATCTATACTGTAGCAGAAACCAGAAGCCTCGAACCAAACCAATGACTCTGTGCGATGAACACTTACTTGCAAGTAAAGATATATGGATAATAGTGTTAGGTCATGGATGAAAAGATTTAATTAATTTGTTACCTATCTATTTCTTTTAATAGGTTATTCATCTCTTCTTTCCCATTCTTGAAATGCATTGTCCATGCTTGAATTAATTGGTTCTGAAAAAAGTACATAAAGTTCATTTTAAAATTATATGTATGATATTAAATATATCTTTGCCAAAATCTCTTAATCCTAAAATTCAGTGATCATTATGGAAGAAGAGATGTAAAGATTGTTAAGAGTGCTAGGCAGTGGATTATGCAAGAGTATTTCCTGGATACAACAGGGAAGTATCTTATATGAATTCACAGCAGGCAAGATAGCATACAGAAGACTTGTGCAGCCTCCTGGCCAAGAGAATTTCAGCAAGGAGGCTGAGGTGGCTACATATACCCAACCCTAGCCCGGAGAGGTTGGCAGTGATCCATGGGAAAAGGATGAATGATTTTCTTTATGGGTAGAATCTTTGCTGGGTTGTCACCCTCCAGAGGATGCTACACATCCAGACATGTATGTGTAACCAAATTGACACAATTCATTTAAATAAGGAATAAAACATGAAGCTCAGTGTTTGGTGAATTGAAGGCAGGTATGAGATGAGTTGGGGAAGGGTAATATATCATCAAAATATATTGTCAAATATTCTCAATGAACTATTTAAAATAAGAAAAAGACTGTCCTCAGGTAAATGTGCTTGTCTAATGATCTAGTACTTATTCTTTAATAAAGCTAAATATTACAGATAACTAATACTCAAGATATCACAGAAAGGCTAAGGGTAAAATGAGATCCAAACTTTCATCAAATGTTTATGTATATCTTATAGATATACATTATGATGATGTATTGGCAGGGATCAAAAATTCAATTTGAGATTAGTTTTCTACACAGCATTGTTAACAGTAGCCAAACACATGAAAATTAATTGTCCATCAAAAGGTAAATATTAAGACAATTATGGTAAATATGAAATACTGACTGTAGGCCATCACAGTAGTTATCATTAATCACTTAATGCCAGTAGGACATTATAGCTTCTGTTTTTATTTTCATCCCAGAAGTCTGGAAGTAAAGTAAATCACAGCATGAATTTGGTATTCGCCTAGGCTACATAGTCACTTTCTAAGAGGCTAGACTTGGCTTCATAGTCCCTGTCTTAAAAAAACAAATATTATACTCAGAGAAATAAATTTTGCAAATTCAGAGAACTTCTTTCAGCTCAGAGAATTTAAACCACTATTTATAAAAAGTTACAATATGAGTATAGCAAATGTATGACCAGGGAGAATATTCTTACCACTGAAAATTATCTTCTTAGTCTTTCAGAAATTAATACAAAATGGGCTTAATAAATATGGACTTACTTGGGTTTTTTGGCACTTTATACCTTCTTCTTCTTGACACTTTTTTGTTGCTTGTAATTTAGAATAATCATATTTAAGCCTAAAATACATATTTCAGAATCAGTGTGTTTACTGAACACATTTGTAAACACCCAATTACATTTTGAACAATAGTATGAATGATCAAAGGAATTCTGAACATTTTGACATACAGTGATTTTGAAATTGAACTAGTATTTGTGTGGCCCTTTGTCTGTACCTACTTTACAGGTAATATGCAAATATGAGCTTTCTTATTTCTCTTAGTATTACTGTGTATCAAACTTACAGATTCAAACACACAACACATACACACCTACACTGAGCTTCAACAACCAAAGTAAACCATGAATTTCAGGTAAACTAAGTGCAGAATTTCCCTTTGGGTTTCAAAAGTGTGCAATTAGTATGAATTATACTAATTCTCTTGTTATGGCATGCTTACTGAAATACACTCAATCTATTCAGCACAGTGTTTTCTTCATAGAACTCTCCAGATGGTCTCCATTTCCCAAATTCATGCTGCAATTCTCAGTGTTCATACAGTGCCTTATGCCTCAGGCAGGTAGAAGAAGCAATAGCTAGGCACTGCTCCATGATCCTGCTGCCACAGACACAACACAGTAATCTGGTCTTTCTAGTCAATATCGACTAGAAATGCACTGAAATGTCTAGCCAAAGTCACCTCTGCTCTATGAAGTTGACTTGTCAGATGGCATCTCTAGTGAGGAAACATGATCAACATGGGAATTTGGTACCGTATAATCAATGCTATAAAAAAAAGTGGCCATGGCTCATTGGAACTTCTGAGACTTATTCAAGGGCATATGAAAGAATCTGGATCTATGGTTTACAAAAGGCCCAGAATAAGATCAGCCTAATGAGATATTCTGATGTGAGCTCATACCAGAATGTCCATAAAAATGCAGACAACAAGGGCTCTCATCATGAGGTTACTGGTGCTGTTAAATACTCTTCCAGAGAGTTGGGCAGATGATCCACATTACATTCTGTCAAGGAATTTGGATCCATTGTCTGAAATGCTCATTGATGTGAAATTAAAAATAACGGGATAATTTATTTAGTGGTGGAAATGTTTTACAAATCATTACCCTTAAGGCTGTTACAATGTTATTTTTCATGGTTTTAGCAGACTTTACAGTCATATTCAATTGTAAAAATGTTGGAGACCAGAGAGATGCCACACCTCACACCACACACACATCAATGTTTGAGGAGAGTGGGAGAACTGGCCCTGAGGTCAAAAGCCACTATCACCTATCTCCTTTCATCTGCAACACGAGGGAGAGAAGAGCTTGCCCCTCAACTGGGAAACAAAATAGAGCTAAACCTGCTCTCAGAGGTGTGGGTGAGAACTGTCCCCACTAGATACCTATCAGCAAGAATGGAAGAGAGCTAGCTCTGAGGTCACAAGGATGGGACACCAACCCCTATCCACCACCAGCTGAAACACTATGAAGGGGATGTACTGTAACTATACTGGGCAGGACAACAAAGCCAACTCTTTTGGCAGAGCCATCCCTGTATCTGTGAGCATGGGACAACTGTCCCCATTACTCATCTGTAACACGGCGGCTTGGACAGTGGAGAGATGCCCTTTTCTTCTGCCCCAAACACCTGTTCCTGAGCACATTAATGCCCAGGCTTCAGTAGAGCTGGTCCTGCCCCTCATCAGCTGCAGCACTCCAGATACAGGCCCCTATACCATACCTGGACAACATGGTAGAGCAGCTGCTGCAGGTTTGGGTGTGAGAGATCTGACACTGTGGACTTGAAAGTAGGAGAACTGGTCCTGTCCTTCGCTCATCACTGCAAGGGGTGAACTTTCCAGGACAATACAGGAGAGCTCACCATGGTGCTGAGGATAATGGAGAGCTAGCAATCTGACCAATCCCTGCAACTACCCAGCCTCAGAACCAGGCATATGAGTTGGCCCACTGCAGCACCCAACTCATCTCTCATCTACTGGGACAATTAATGGAGCAGTCCTGCAGACCCCAATCTGCAGGATCTCCACAACACAGACAATCAGCACGATAATAAAGAGTGGTTCCACTGACACCCAGCAATCGATAGCGTAGCAGAAACCAGAGGCCTCGACCCAGACCAATGACACTGTGTGATGAACACTTACTTTCAAGTAAAGATATATGGGGAAAGGAGTTTGGTCATGGACAAATGATTTGAAAAATGAATTCCTTACCTAGTTATTTCTTTTTCTAGTTCACTGATGGTTTTTTTGCCATCCTCCAAACTGCATGTCAATGATTGAATTATTCCATCCTGGAAATAAAGTACATACATACATACATACATATATATATATACATACATACATACATGTTAAAGTTATTTGTATGATTTTAAATATATCTTTATCACATGCCCTATTCTCAAAACTCAGTGATCATTATGGAAGAGGAGATGTAAAGATTGTTAAGAGGGCAAGGCAGTGGATTATGCAAGAGTGTTTCCTGGACACACCAGGGCAGGAGCTTCTATAAATTCACAGTAGTCCAGACAGCATGCAGAAGACCTGTGCAGGCTCATGGCCAACAGAATATCAGCAAAGAGCAGGAGGTGGTTATAAATAGCTGCCCCTAGCCTGGAGAGGTTGGCATTAATCTATGTGACAAGGATGAATGATGTTCTCTAAGGGTAGAATCTTTGCTGGGTTGTCACCCTCCAGGGGATGCTACACATCCAAATATGTATGTGTAGCACAAATTGCACATAATGAGTACAATGAAGGAATAAAACATGCAGCTGGGTGTTTGGTGAATTGAAGGCAGGTATGAAATGAGTTGGGGAAGGATCATATTATCATCAAAATATATTGTCGAAAATTCTCAATGAAATGTTTAAAATGAGAAAAAGAGACTGTATTCCGGGAAATGTGCTTGTCTAATGACCTAGTCCATATTCTTTAAGACAACTAAATATTACAGATAACTAATTCTCAACATATCAAAGAAAGGCTTAGGTTACAATGAAATCCAATTTTTCAACAAATATTTATATCTGTTAGTTATAAATTATGATGATGTATTGGCAGGGATGAAAACTTCAATTTGACATTTAGTTTTCCACACAGCATAGTTATCAGTAGCCAAACACATGAAAACGAAGAGTTCACCAAAGGTGAAAAGGGTAAGCCAACTATGGTAAATATGAACTATTGAGTGTAGACAATCCGAGTGTTTATCATTAATCACTTAACACCTGTAGGACATGGTAGCTTCTGTTTTATTTTCATCCCAGAAGTCTGGAAGTAAAGTAAATCACCACATGAATTTGGTATTAGCCTGGGCTACATAGTCATTTTCTCAGAGGCTAGCCTGGGATACATAGTCCCTGTCTCAAAAAAAAGACAAATCTTATTGTCAAGAGTAATAAATTTTACAAATTCAGAGAACTTCTGTAGGCTCAGAGAATTTAAACTACTATTCACAAACAGTTACAAGATGATTATGTCAAATATATGACCAGGGAGAATATGCATAACTCCCAAAAGGTGGTTGGATATTACTGCAAGACACGGAAATTTTCATCTAAGTATTTCAGAAATTAATACAAAAATGTGCTTAATATATATGGACTTACTTTTGTTGCCAGACTGTTCTTACATTCCTCTGCTTGACACTTTGTTGTTGCTTCTAAGTCAGATATTTCAAGTGTAAGCCTAAAATACATGTTTCAGAATGAGTTGTGTAACTGCACACATTTGGAAATATCCAGTTAGATTAAAATACATGTTTCACAATGAGTTGCATTTACTGCAAACATTAAAAAATGCCCAATTAGATTCAGAACAAAACTGTGAATGATCATAGGAATTCTGAACATTTTGACATACAGTGATTTTGAAACTGTACCAGTCTTTGGGTGGCCCTTTGTACATACTTTAGAGGTTATATGAACAAATGTGAGTTTTCTTATTTGTATTAGGGTTAATGTGTATCAAACTTACAGATTCAAAGACACAACACATACACACCTCCACTGAGCTTCAACAACCAAAGTAAACCCAGCATTTTAAGTGAACTAAGTGTGAATTTTCCCGCTGGTTTCAAAAGTGTGCAATTAGTATGAATTATCCAAGTTCTCGCTTGTCACAGTGTGCTTGCTGGTATGCACTGAATCTACTCAGTAGAGTGCTTTCATCATAGTACACTGCAGATGATTTCCATCTCCCAAACTCATAGTAAAATTCTCAGTATTCATACAGTGCCTCATGCCTCATGAAGCTAGAAGAAGCAATAACTAGGCACGGTGCCCACGGCCCTGCTTTCGCACATAGAACACTGTCATCTGGCCTTCCTGTCATTGTAGACTAGAAATGCTCTGAAATGTTTAGCCAAAATCAACTTTCCTCTATCATGTTGACTTCTCAGATATCATCTCTGCAGTGAGGAAAGGTGATTGGTATGGAAAGTTGGAACCGTACCAGCAATGCTATAATAAAATTGGCCATGGACTCATTAGACTTCAGGAACTTATTCATGGGCATAGGAAAGACCATGGACCTAGAGTTTACAGAAGGCCCAGAAGAAGATCATCCTAATGAGACATTCTGATGTGAGCTCATGATACTAGAATATCCATAAAATGCAGACATCAAGAGTTGTGATCCTGAGGTTTATGGTGCTATTAAATACTCATCCAGAGAGTTGACCAGTAGCATCCACATTACATTCTTTCAAGGAATTTGGATACATTCTATGAAATGGTCATTGGCGTGGAATTAAAAATGCTGGGATTTAGTGGATGAAATATTTTGCAAGCCATTACCCTTAAGGCTGTGACTTTGCTGTTCTTCTTGGTTTTAGCAGAGTTTACAGTGTTATTCAAGTTATAAAAGTTGGGGATGAGAGATCCCATGCCTTGCCAACCCATCAATGCTTGAGGAGAGTGGGAGAACTGGCCATGAAGTCATGACAGCATAAGGACCTAAGAGCTGCAGTCCCTCTCTCCCTGTCTGCCACCATCTGCAAGAATCGGGAGAGAAGACCTTGCCCCTCACCTGGGCAGAGAAATAGAGCTGATCCTACTGACAGCAGTATGGGGGAGAACTGCCCCCATTTGTTTCTAACAGCATGAATACAAGAGAGCTAGCCCTTGGGTAATAAGGGTGGGAGAGCGTGCCCTGTCCCCCACCTGTTGAAAGACTAATCAGGGGATATACTATGCCTCCATTGGGCAGTACAATAAAGCCAATTCTTGGGGTAGAGCCAGCTCTGTATCTGAGAGCATGGGAGGACTGTTCCAATTACTCATCTGTAACATGGTGGCTTTGGCAAAGGAGAGGTGTCCTTTTCTTCTGCACAACCCCAACTCCCAGCCCATAAATGTACCAGGCTTCAGTAGAGCTGGTCCTGCCCCTCATCAGCCTCAGCACTCTAGAGAGAGGCCCCTATACTGCACCTAGACAACAAGGTAGAGCTGCCATTGAAAATTTGCATGTGGGAGATCTGACACTGGGGACATGGAAGCAAGAAAGTGGTCCTGCCCTGTGTTCATCACTACAAGGGGTCAAATTGCCAGGGCAACACAGGAGAGCTCACCCTGGTGGTGAGCACAAGTGAGAGCTGGCAATCTGACCAACCCTGCAACTATCCAGGCCCAGTACCAGGCATATCTATGAATGGCTCACCCCATCATCCAACCCATCTGTGACCTACTGGAACAACCAAAGGGACCAGTCCTGCAGACCCCATTCTGCAGAATCTCCACAACACAGAAAATCAGCAGGACAATAAAGATTGTTTCTACTGACAGCCCAGCATTGATAGTATAGTAGAAACCAGAGGCCTCAAACCAGACCTATGACTCTGCAATGAACACTTGCAAGTAAACATATATGGACAAAGGCATTTGTTCATGGATGAATGATTTGAAAATGAATTTCTTACTTAGCTCTTTCTTTTCGTAGTTTACACATTTTTTCATTACGATTCTCCAAATGCCATGTGAATGATTGAAATGACTTATTCTGAAAACAGTACATATATGTACATTTCAAAATTACATGTATGCTATTAAATATATCTTGGTCAAAACCTCCTAGTCCCAAAACTTAGGGATTATTATGGAAAAGGAGGGATAAAGATTTTTAAGTATGCAAGGCAGAGGATTATGCAAGAGTGTTTCCTAGACACAGCAGTGCAGTAGCTTACATGAATTCACAGCAGGTGAGATAGCATGCAGAAGACCTGTGCAGACTCATGGCCAACAGAGTTCCATCAAGAAGAGGGACATGACTATAAATACCTACACACAGCCAGGAGAGGTTGGCAGTGATCTATGGGAGAAGGATGAACGATGTGGTTTAAGGGTAGAAACTTTGCTGGGTTGTCACCTTCCAAACATGTTTGTGTAGCCGAAATTTTACATTATTAGTATAATGAAGGAATAAAACATGCAGCAGAATGTTTGGTGCATTGAAGGCAGGAATGAGATGAGTTGGGGCAGGGTCATATATCATCAAAATATATTGTGGAAAATACTCAATGAACTAATAAAAATAAGAAGAAAAACTTTACTCTGGATAATGTGCTTGTCTAATGATCTAGTACTTATTCCTTAATAAAGCCACATATAGCCAACCGGAACCCGGAGAGGTTGGCAGTGATCCATGGGGGGAAAGGATGAATGATTTTCTTTATGGGTAGAATCTTTGCTGGGTTGTCACCATCCAGAGGATGCTACACATCCAGACATGTATGTGTAACCAAATTGACACAATTCATTTAAATAAGGAATAAAACATGAAGCTCAGTGTTTGGTGACTTGAAGGCAGGTATGAGATGAGTTGGGGCAGGGTCATATATCATCCAAATATATTGTCGAATATTCTCAATGAACTATTTAAAATAAGAAAAAAAAGACTGTCCTCAAGTAGATGTGCTTGTCTAATGATCCAGTAATTATTGTTAATAAAGCTAAATATTACAGATAACTAATACTAAAGATATCACAGAAAGGCTAAGTGTAAAATGAAATCCAAACTTTCATCAAATGTTTATGTATATCTTATAGATACAAATTATGATGATGTATTGGCAGGGATCAAAAATTCAATTTGAGATTAGTTTTACACACAGCCGTGTTAACAGTAGCCAAACACATGGAATTAAGAGTCCATCAAATGGTAATTGGGTAAGCCAACTATGGTAAATATTATCTAATGAGTGTAGTAATCACAGTATTTATCATAATTCACATAACACTGATAGGACATGGTAGCTACTCTTGGTGTTTTCATCCCAGAAGTCTGGAAGTAAAGAAAATCACAGCATGAATTTGGTATGAGCAGGGCTACATAGTCCCTGTCTCAAAAAACAAATCATATTCCCAGACTAATGAATTTTACAAATTCAAAGAACTTCTGCAAGCTCAGACAATTTAAACTAGTATTTAAAAAGAGTTGCATATGGATATATCAAATATATGACTAGGGAAAACATTCATATCTCCTAAAATGTGATTGTATACTACTCGTAGAATCAGGAAAGTTTCTTCTCACTCTTTCAGAAATTAATACAAAATAGGCTTTCTTTTTTTTAAATTTTATTTTCCAGTTTAAATTTAGATAAGAAACGAGGTTGCTTCACAAGTCAGTTCCAGGTCCCTCTCCCATTCCCTCCCCTCCTACCGTGCCCGCCCCCTAAACCCCCTCCCCCCGTTATCCCCTCATTTCCCCAGGGAGGGTGAGGCCCTCCATGGCGGTGTGCATAGTCTGTCATTTCATATAGGGCAGGGCCTAGACCCTTCCCCAAGAGTTCAGGGTGAGAGTGCACCTCATATTGTCCTATGGGAGTCCAAAGTCCGTGTGTATACTTGGGATGGGTACTGATCTGCTGCCCAAGGCTCAATAGATTCCCTAGGCCTCCTCACTGACACCCAGATTCAGGGGGTCTTGATCAGTCCCATGCTGGCTTCCCAGGCTGATGCCTGGGATTCAAGAGTTAACCTTTGCCTGGTCAGCTGTTTCTGGGGGTTAAACCAGCCCAGTTTTAATCCCTTTGATCATCAGCCCTCCCTCTCTGTTACTGGCTTTCTTGAGTTCAGCTCAGTACTTAACCAAGGGAGTCTGCCTCTTCTTCGATCAGCCACTAAATAAAGTTTCTGTTTCCCAGACTCTCTGGCCATGGGATTGTAGGCTGGCACTCCCCAGATCTATGTCTAAAATCCATATATGAGAGAGTACATGCCATGTTTCTCTTTTTGTGACTGGGTTACCTCACTCAGGATAGTTTCTTCTAGTGTCATCCATTTGCCTGCGAATCTCATGATTCCATTATTTTTTTCTGCTGAATAGTACTCCATTGTGTAGATGTACCACATTTTCTCTATCCACTCTTCGGGTGAGGGACATCTAGGTTGCTTCCAAGTTCTGGCTATTACAAATAAAGCTGCTATGAACATAGTGGAACAGACATCTTTGTTGTATGAATGGGCATCTTTTGGATATATGCCTAAGAGTGGATTTGCTGGGTCTTGTGGTAGGTTTATTCCCATTTTCCTAAGGAAACTCCATACTGATTTCCAAAGTGGCTGTACGAGTTGGCATTCCCACCAGCAGTGGAGGAGTGTTCCCCCTTTCTCCACATCCTCTCCAGCATAAATTGTCATTGGTGTTTTTGATTTTAGCCATTGTGACAGGAGTGAGATGGTATCTCA